TCCACGGTGTTAGCCCATACTTTTTCTTAAGTACCTATTAATCAAGTTAATGGACAAGCTGGGAGAGCATTTTCAGTGTAATGGGTCACCAAAAGGAGAATGTGTCTGTAAATGATTGAAGAGTATAACCATCTTTTCGTGGTACGCAGGCCGGCTTTGGTGCTAAGGCAAAGAATCTGCTGCAGCTAAAAACTGAGTACAGAGGGGTGTCATGGAGGTGAGAGACCACGCACAAACTATGTACATAAAAAAGCTGTGTACATTGCATTGTGATAATTTTATTTATTGTTGGTTTGTTTTTCATTAACAAGCATTGGTGGAGATCAATCTCTTGAGACTGTCACAACATTACCTAGTAAGTCTCCTTCTTTCTTGATGTTTAATGCACATTAGCACCACTAGATGGCAGAGTTGGACTGTAACAAAACTAGTGTTTTTGTCTCTTGTGCAGTAATTTCCCTGTTTTTTTCATCAGATATCCTTAAGAAGTTCAACCCTAAAATCAAAGGAGTGTCAAAGGGACAGGGGAAATGGCAGACTGGCTTCAACATGGCTGTATCTGGAGCTAAAATATCGTTAGTTCTCGCTTTTCTTCAAACTGTCATCAGCTTTGCAAACGGTAGGTTACTACTGTATGTTTTAACCATTTTGTGCACTCATGAAAATCTCTAATTTCATACAGAGGAATCCCAGGGCAGATCAGAAGCCTGATTGATACCATGAAAAATGACTCTGTGAGTTTAATTAATTGCACCATACCCATGCATGCCATATTTTAATGTGCAAGAAAAAAATTGTAATCTTTGTTCCATCTCTCTATCTCTTTCTTTCTGATTCCTTCTCCATCCTTTTAATGGAAATAGACGGTGGATTTTGAGAATGACTGGAAGTTGGTGACCCTCTTCATTGGAGGCAATGACCTATGTCAGTACTGCAATGACCGTGTAAGTTGCTTTAGGAAGTCATCACAGGAAATGCTGGGTGATCCAAAGGATGAAGGACATTTTCAAAGCACTCCCCTCAGTAAAGCCAGTCTCCCACCACAGCACAGTGGTTAAACATCCCATAGTGTTGTTTGATGCGCTGTGTATAGAGCCGTCTCATGATATCACTCTCCAAATGGGACGATGCACTGGAGCAGAATAATCAAGCTTTGTGAATAGCCCTCCCTTAATTGTTTTATTGTGTCAGAGTAAGATGAGAGCAGACATGGTTTCTTTTCAATGAGCACATTCTGTCACTTTACCCCTCCAACACAAAACACCCCCCTGCCTCCTCTATATCAGCCTCTGTCTGCATCAAACAAGCACATGGGGCACAGTGACAGGCCTTGTTCTCTAAGAGGCATAAACAACACAGAGGTCAACCCAGACTCTCTTCATCCTGTCACTGTCTCACTCCCCTCACTTCTTCTCCTTTTCTCATTTTGCCTCCATTTCCCCCTCTCTCTCTTTCTCTCTCTCAATATATTACTCTCCTCGCTCTCCACTGACAGGGTAGTCTCTCTTGTAATGTTTGTGCTTTGAAGCAGAATATCCAAGCCCAGCATCAATTTAAGATAAGCTCTGAGACTGTGGTAGTGACAGCTTAGGGTTAGTTGTGGCACGTACGCTCCTCCATGTTGCATGACGTCGTCTCTTTTGGTAAATTTGTGCTTTTTAGTTACAAACTTGGCCAGTTTCCCTGAAATATGCCTTAAATATTCTGCTTTTCTCTGGCCACAACAGAGAACAGCTGGTAATGAAAAAAACTATGTGTGTTCACTCTGAATTAATAAAATGCCTTGTGTAAATTGTGTGTAATCTTATTATTCTTTTGGTCTCAAAACCACAGGCCTCTTTGTCACCTCAGAACTACAGCCATCATATGATGACCAGCTTGGATATGCTCTACAAAGAGGTAAAATTATGTTATTAACTAAGCCAATTACAGTTAATTATGCAATTCACATTTTCTAACCTTCTGAATTTTACTTTTAAAGTAAATAAAAATCGTGTTTTTCTTGCTTTCTGGCCGTAGGTTCCCAGGATGATTGTCAACGTCTTGGAGATCCTGGAAATTGAAGGCCTTCGCAGGATCAAAAGGGATAGTCTTGGCTGCAGTGTGTTACAAAAGTACGCTCATTGATCCACTCATGCTCAATCAATTCTACATGAAGACCACTGAGTCCAAGGCAGACCAACAGCACTTCTCTTAGTATTGATTGAATGCTAGTCAATACAGCAAGAAATATAATAACTTGGAGTTTATTAAAGCATACTCATCCCTGAATCAATGACAAATCCAATGTTTTACAGTGCAAAAGATAGCATTATGCATCAGTCAGTAATGATTATAAAAGCCTAACCCTTAAAAGCATTTTATTTCCCCAAATCAGCTTATACTTTTCACCTTTCTCCTCAGGTATGTCTGCCCATGCTTCTTGTTAGCAGGAGAGGACTCCCCAGAGCTGGCTGAAGTAAAACGGATCAATCGGGAGCTACAGGTTAGCAGACAGGAACAGTGAAGCCAAAATGTGGGACCAACATCTAGTTAAAGTCCCCCTCTACTTTGCACAGTGACACTACAAGGATGTTCTTTCTTTCAGGTTGAGACAGAAAAATTGGTGTACGGAGGCCGCTATGATGACAGAGAGGACTTTGCTGTGGTCGCACAGCCCTTTTTTAAGAACTCCATTGTTCCTTTGAATGCTGTAAGCCCTCTGTGCACCCCCAAACCTACATTACACTCACAGTAACAGGCCCTTTCCCTCAAAGCACGTAATTCCTAAAAACACTGATGTTGTATTATTTCTTCTCCAGGACGGCAGACCTGACACCACCTACTTTTCTGAGGACTGTTTCCACTTCAGTGAACGGGGACATGCTGACATGGCTGCAGCTCTGTGGAATAACATGGTGAGTCTGGCAAAGCAGGACAGTAAAAGGCTAACTGTATTTGACAGGGGAAAGCTTTTGGATAAGTCTTTCTAAATTAGCCCATCTCACTGCAACTTCATGGGTTGAGCAAAGATGTACTCTGTTTTAACTCTAGTTGGAGCCAGTGGGTAAAAAACAGACATACAACAATTTCACAAATGCCAGAAATAACATCAAGTGCCCCACTGAGGTAAGAAAACAGCCACACAAGCATTTCTCAAATGCTGCTGCTGACATTTGTGGTTTATCTGTACAATTTGTGCATATTGGCACAAATGGTTCATAAAAGTGAATGTGATTGAATAGAAGACCTTCCTTCTTGTGCATTCCAGGAGCATCCTTACATCTTCACAAAGGTGAACAGCCTACCCAGTCTGACCACTACAACAGCACCCAGAACAGACAGCACAGCTTTACCTCACAGCTCCTCAGCACCCACAGCGCACAGCACAGGCCAGCCACTCACCTCTGATTGCACGGACCATGTGCCAGTATGGCTCGCTGCTGTGCTGGCCGTATTGGGTCTTCTGATTGGCTGGGCTGTCACCTGGCTCCTCCTCTCCTGCAGAACCAAGAGAAGCAAGAAGATGATGATTGCTGCAGTGGAGATGAAGGGCAGTGCGTTTTAAAGTGCTACTTACTGTGTTTTTGCACTGGACGATTCAACGTAACAGAACCAAGAACTACAAAACAACACTGCAATATTTAAAGTGATTGTAGAAGGCATATTCTTTGTGTTGACAATAAAGCAGTTTTTCATAAGAAGACATGATAAGATAGCCCTGTCTGCTTTGACTATAGAAGTTAATTATTGACCTTGAACCACAGAAAATATTACTGGATGCAGAAGTGGAAAAGGTACACCAGACATTACTTAAGGAAAGCAATGAATAAGACAACTGAATCACACTCCATTACAACTCCTGCATACAAACCTATTATATTTAATTTTATTAAAATAAAAATGTATTTTGTGTAATAATAAATAATGGAAAGACAATGTAATTAAGCATTCTTTCTGTTAAAAAATATTCTTGCTTTTGATTGTAACAAAAATGTTTTTTTTTGGTTATTTGGAATAAATAATTTGAAATAATTCATATAAACAGTAATCTAGTGTGACTGCTCAAGTGAACAATCAGACACCAACCAGTCTTGACATGTTGTAGCCTGCCTGTCCAGGCAATCATCACCATTACACATTAATGGTATTTATTTTAGAAAAGAAATACAAATATCACAATATCATAAAAAATACAAACCAACCATGCACAAATGATTCTACTTGGAGCACAGACCACATATGCCTACATGTATTCCCTTAATCATTACCACCATTGAGACAGACTACTGATAAACATAAAAAAGGATATTTTATGACCTCCTCACAGTGATGAAAGCCACCGAGTGCTTTTGGTACTTATGTCACAAGCATACAGAGGTGAGATGTACATTTACTCAAGTATTTAGAGGTATTTGTACTTTACTTGAGTTTTTAATTTTGTGCTATTTCATAATTATATTCCACTACATTTCAGAGGGCAATATTCTACTCTTTACTGCAGCACATGATCACTATATTTTTGTACAGACCCAAAAGTATAGGAAAGGAATTAGCTCCACCTTAACTGGTAACAACATAAAAATGCTTCTTTGAATATTTATGCATCAGCAATAATAATTTCAGTAATATATAAGTCTTACAGTGGGATTCGACTTCTATTACTTTTTCATTCATTTATTCAGTACGTTTTGCTGATAATATTTTTGTAGTTTTCACAATTTTATAAATGCATAAATGCTTTTGATTGTAAATTAGTATGTTTACATTGTACTATGAGTAGTACAACTTACAGGCCTATACTTCTCCCAACACTGCAAACATAAACACAAATTGTGTTTTAGAGCTCTTTCAAAATAATAACGAGTATGCTGGGTGGAATTTATTATAAAACAATATGTTTGTCAGCCATTAATAAACATATTTTATTTAATATAAATGTGGTTGAAGCTTTTTATACACAGTCTATGGGTTAAAGTGACTTCGCAAGTTCATACGGTTACTGTTTTCTTGACAGCAGCGCCCCCTGGTGTCAGTAGGGGGAATCGACGCGGCCAACACTGTACCACATCAGTTTGAAGATGGCGGAGGGTGAATTGAACGTGGACAGCCTCATCTCTCGGCTTCTGGAAGGTGAATTTCAATGCAGTTTGTGAATGTTACAGAGTTAGCTGTTTATGTTCATCAAAGCCGGTGTGAGCTTTATTCTGTAGCTACCGCGGTTGCCTCACAAAACGCAGAAAAATGTGTTAGCTAGCAGGGCTAACGTCAGCCACTCGTAATGGTGTATCCCCGGCTAGCTAATGCTACAGTTAGCTGGCCGTGTTTATAAACACTGTCAGCGGTGAACGCCTACATTTCTCAGTTTTCGCAGTAATAACTACGTTACTCTTGTCAAGTAATTTTATTGGCTCGTGTTCCTTACTTTATCATATAATTAAACTTTCTGCCTGATGTTTTTGGCTTTATGCCGCCTCATGTATTGTCCAAATTATGGGAGGAATGGCTGTTTGTCCTGAGCGTTAACGTTACAACATTGAAAATATAACGTTACAACCCAGAATCATGTCTGATTACTCTAACCTCTAACTCTACCCTTAACTGTTAGGTAGGTTAAGTAAATATTTGTTAACTACGACATGAACACCCATTTTCACCAGCGCCAGTGCCCTTGACACGGTTAAGTTTTACTCCATATCCGCGTTCCTGTAAGTTTTCATCATGATATGTTGTTAAATTTCTATTTGTGATCTGGTTAATGTTACATTATTGGGAAAGGCACTCTTTTGACTAATCGATAAAAAACACAAATAGGCTTAAACCTTAACATATGGATAACCCATCTAATATTTGATGTCCATATCACTACATCCTGTTGTCGTGAGGTAGTCTGATTTTTGTGAAGTAATTTTAACTTTTGTAACTCACTCCTCTCAGGGTTTGTAGGTGTGTTTTCGTGGGCAGGTTGATGTGATTCAGTGCACTCATGCACATTGGGCACACCATGCACACACACACTCCCTTTAAATGCCTGTTACAGGTGAGGAATAACAAGATGCAAATTAAAAACATCGCAGACAGAGGAATTAATACTCTCCGAGCTGTCCACAAATATTCATATTTATAGTTTACAGTATGTCCTATTCTGCTGTTGCGATCACAATCACATTATTGCTCTCTTCTTGGTAAATAAAGGCAATTGTGTTGGTGTGTGAGGACCAGGTTTTGGGTATGGCAGATAGAACGATGCTCAAAAATCTTTTTTGTGCTGGTTGTCCACCTGCTCAGGAGAAGGCGGAGAGTTTTCCGCCTGCCAGTTATTATCTGAGTCAGTCCAGACCACTAAGGCAAATTCCGCTGTCCTTGGCATACTTTCCACCAGTATCTGTCACTCTGTTGGAGGAACGAGGCACTATGCCATCACGCCAGATTTGTTATTTATACTAGTAATTGCTAGAAAATGACACACTGCAACTGCTTTGTGCTTCTTGCAGTCTCATTTTTATGTTATCATTGTTACCCAATGATGAAATTATTGGAAAAACTCTTTTCAAGTCTGAATCGTGAAACAACATTTTTCCTGCTGATCCTTCCCAACAGTTTCCCTTGTAGCTCAGACTACAGTGACTTGTTGATTGTGTTGCTCATATGTTGAGATGGCATTGGCAACCATGTATTATAGGGGTCAGTTTTGCTGTGATCTTGATGGCAATTGTGTCTTTTATTTTCTATTTTCCTGCTCATAGAACAAGCGATTACACGTGACTATGTGATTTGGATGTTAACGTTTCATAGACTTCTTTTTTAATTGTTCAGCTTTGTAGTTAGTGATGTGAACTTATTCAACAGTTTGAATCAAGCACGTGTGCAAATAATTTAGGAATATGATAAATGGTATATTATAAATGTTTAAATGTCTTTTTTTTGGTTGTCTGTAGGTAAGAAATGTGTACTAGTGAAATGCCACTGTCACTGTGGAACTGCTTCTTGGTACCTCTGACAGGGGTGGTAATCTTTGTTTTCTTCAGTCCTTGTGCCTGGTAACAAAACCTATTCAAAAGGGTTTAGTGGAACTAGCCAAGAAAAGGCACCCTGTAACTGAAACCAAAGTCAGGCTTTCAAATAGGTTTGTACCCTTCATTAATCCAGGTGTTAATTTAATCCAGGTGTTTATTTTGTAACAAAAAAAAACTGTTTTGATCTGAAACACATGTACAGGTTTTTGCTGATATTTTCTGATGTTCAGCACAGAATTCTCCCATCGTCACAAAATAGCTTACTGTATATTTTGCTGTCTGAGAAAAAGGGAGGAAAGCCAAGTGTCAGTGAGAGTGCTTATTCATTGGAATTACGTACATTTTGGAAAATCGTGCGGGACACTGTCTCACTTTCTCCAGACACATGTACAGTGACACAATCACACACAAACTCAGTGTTTTGGCTTCTGATGGCTGCAAATCCTTGCTTCATTTTAGCCTTTGCCCCTCAATGTTCTTAAGCACGTAATCTGTTTTAAAAGTGCCAGCCCGCAGAAGTGCGAACAGTGAAAAGTTCAGTGTTAAAGCCAAGCAGGTTAAGCATCCAAGCTTAACTCACTCGGCTGTTATGAGGCCTGGCCGTTAAGTGAAGAGCCCTGCTTCTGCAATTTCATGCCTCACACAGTGGGTATGAAGCGGTGCAGATACAGTATATGGATGATAAAAAAAAATTTATGGTGTAAAGCAACACTTCAGTAAGGTTGGGGGAGCCCTATAAAAAAAATTTTGGCACTCAGATCTACCATCTGTGAGGATCCATATTCCTCTGGTTCACTCAGTTCTCTCAAATTTGGTTAGATTAAATGACTAATGAGTCAGCAAGGGAGTTTGAGTACAGTGTGTAAATAGCATGTATATGCACATGTGTCTATGTATGCACGCAAGCTTCAGGAATTGCATACCAATACATCAGTTAATCCATTTGCAGCTCCATTTGCATGCTCTCTATTTGGCCTTTCTCTAATTTGTCATCCTTTTAAGGAAACAAAAATGCAAATAGGAAAAGTCTTTTCGGAATAACCTGCATTTGTTTCACTAGACTCTGCTATGTTTTATTGGAATCTGTAGTGGGCGTCTATCTTGTAGTCAATACCAAAATGCACACATTGCTTTGATTTGCTTTTTGTGACACCAAACTGAGACATAAATGAAAATTGCTGTCCACTTACATTTACTGCACATGTATTAATATAGTGACAAAGCACAATTGGTCCCTGTTATATCACCAAGACCATTCTTCCACCTTATATTTATTTATTCAGATTACCACCTTTAGCATTGGTCACTTCTGGCAAAGCTGTAACATCAAGTGACTAATTCTGTTTTTTGAAAGGATGCCATCTTCCAGAGACACTGCACCACAAGGCAGTACAGATATTACAGAATTTTCCTTCGGGGATCAATTAAGTATTTCTGATTCTAAATCTGATAAACCAAACACAAAAAATATACAAAATGCAGACTTTTGAAACTAGATGGAACATTAACTTCAGTCTAATACAAGCCACAGGGTGCCATAGCAAGGAAGCAGTTTTTATGCTGTATAATCTCACTTTTCATATCTCTGACTATTTCAGCTGCTGAGTATAGCCAACGTTTGCAATTCTTACTTCTCTTTTCATTGTTGGAAGATAAATCTGTACCCAGAGCTGTGGCAGAATGCCAGAAAGTAGGCTTAAGCTACCAGTGCAACTACACAGCCAATAAACCCCCACCACTGCTGAAGATGCAAGCTGCTTTCATAGTCTAAGCAGTGGGTTTCTTAAGTATGGCCGGGACTAAACAACTATAATCAGAATCATTACGCCCACAGCTCATCAGATTTTAAGATTCCTTTGTGACTGTGTTCTTTTTTTTTTTTAGGTAAAAAGTGAATGTATCGTGGCCTCATTCTGATGAACTTCGTGGGTTGCTGGTGCTTCTGTGTTAACACTGACATTGATCATAATAACAGCTGTTGATAGCACTGATGCTGTCTTTTCTCTCCTCTCCAGTACGGGGATGTCGCCCGGGGAAAATAGTCCAGATGACAGAGGCAGAGGTGCGCGGCCTCTGCATCAAATCCAGGGAGATCTTCCTAAGCCAGCCCATCCTGCTGGAGCTCGAGGCACCCCTGAAGATCTGTGGTCAGTATTCTATATTTCTGCGCTCCTCAACCACCACATGTTTATTTTTGCATTGTAATTTATTAAAATTAAAGTCAGTGTTGTGACAATTACTTTAAAGCATATTTGAGCTGAAAGGTTTAAAAGTTTATTTTAATCAGAGACCGGACAACACTGCCACAGCCTGGCTCATATATTTTAAGTCACAGGTATGTGTTATAGAAGGATCCATTGCACACATACGTACACAGATTGTGTATCACTGTCTTACACACGTATTATAGACAGACCGAAGTAAAGCAAAGCAACTGCAGCAGCAACTCCTCAGCTGAAATGTTACCACAACAGGTAACTCTAGCTGGCTCCAGCGCATCTTGGTACACTCCCACATGCTTTATCTCTTCCCTCCAGTATAGTGCTGCAACTGCAAAAAACTCTGAAATGTCTATAATATATGTACAGTCATTGAAACTACAGTACACAAGCTCACATATAGGCTCAGGCCTACACACAGTTCATTTGTGGCTGTCCTCATACCAGTTTCCTCCCACACACATTTGCTTTTAGATTGTAGATATACTGTCACCCTCAGATGACAGTATTTGCATTTGAAGTGATAAACGTGATAATGGAAAGCAGTAATTTGATGATCATATCGAACTAACCCTGTACATTGCTCTAAAATATGCATGAGTGTGAGGTGGTGTTATTTTTTCTACTGTGGTAGGTTTCTTTTTCTCTCCTTTATTTTCTTTGTTTTGTTGCTGAACTTTTATCCGCGGACCGATTACTTGCCTTTAACTCACAGCTCTGAGGGCAGGCTTTCAGGACACTACCACTGACTGTAGAGACCAAACAGTGAATGGACTTAATTATTTACTAAGGCCACATGGATCATGTTCTGCGCATACTCTTTTTCTCATTTGTTAAATTTAATACCACTGGCATCATTTTGCCCTAGCCGGCCGCTTTGATAGTGTTTGGCCTGGTCATTTATTTAAACAGAAGAATTAAAATTAGATTTTTTAAATACAGTGTTGTTGACAATAATGGTGATCAGAGCATCATTGTGAGGATGTGTTAGATAGTAATATTGTTTCTTAAATAAAATGGACAGATGATAATGATTAACAGCACCCTGCAATCACAATCCTCACCAACGGGTTTCACGTTCACCATAATAGGACCTTACTGATTCAGAGCCAAACGTAACTGATTTGTTAGCCTGTTGAATTAGCTGAAGAAAGACCACAAGCATGCATGCTGTGTTTACCATTTTAGTTCTGAGTCCAATAGAATGCCTTTAATTATTTTCTGGCTACAAGAGACTGACTGGGGAAAATGAGATGAAAACATTTTAGAAAGCACTACAACATTTCTGAATGCAAAAAAAATAATAATGAAGTCTTTTATTTGAATGTAACCACTTCAGTCATATTTTAGCAGAATATCTCTGGCAGCCAATATTCATTTCTCACCCTGAAGTAATTTGTCTTGATTATTTACGTTCCACGTTGTTAAATCAGGCCTCTGAGTACGGGTGCATGTTTATTTATGTTAGGCTTATATGTATCATTCTCATCATGCTGTTTAAAAGTTTCCTTGAAATAAAGTACTGCACATATGGTGCAGGCACAAGCAGGAATTAATGTTCTCTGTGTGCTGTCCTCTATTTAGTCTGTTGTTCAGTATGTGTTGCTGTCAGACTGCCAAAACAAAAAAAGTCTGTGTCTGTCGAAATATGTACTTCAATGTTTTTGTAGCTTTTAGCAGTATTCACATCTGTTCCCAGCTTTAGCGAGATTAGCACAATGTAGACTTGCACTGTAATGGATGCCCATTAAAATAAATTTCAGAGCTGTCAGTGGATGGAAATGTATTTTATTGCCATCTAGAACAGCAAAGACAGACTGTGTTACAGTTACAATCAGCCTGTTTGTTGAGTGTTTTTTTTTCTGTGTGTGTGTTTATTTGTTGAGCCGGATTATTCAGTGTTCCTCACACTGATATTGTGTTTATGTGGGTGCTTTTGAACCAGTTGATTATCTGGCTACACAAGGGCATGCAACAGCACACTTGATTACAACATTATCACTTAAGTACCCTTGCTCTGATGTTAGGCTAATGATATAATGGCCGTTAAATTATGCATGCATAGGCATTTTGTTTTATTGTTCTTTTAATTATTACTGATTTGTCTGTTGACCTGTTCTTTCGGTACATAGGAGCATGTTGGCCACTGATTTACCAAACATGGGTGGCATACTTGGGGAATCAAAAAATGCACTGCCTTTTCCTTGTATTAATTTAGAGTTATGTTATCACCATTGCTTTTATGTTGTATTGTCTTCTTAGACAAAGTTTGCTCATTTGTAACACTGACCTCAGGTTCTTTGCTCATTCCTTTCTTCCTACTTTCTACCTTTTGCAACCCTAAATCTCTGTGCTGCTATTCTCGGAATGTTTTGACACTGCAGAGGCAGTGCTAAGTAAATAATTCACTGTCACCCTATAATTTCTTGTGAGAGGGCAGGCGGCGTGTTTGCCCATAGAAAGCTAGCATTGGTAAAACTCACAATTTCACATTCAGTCATGCTGCAACGCTTTAGTGTGGAGTTAAGGATAGTTAGTGTAAGACTAAACTTGAGAATCCAACAGACAGACCATCAAATGGTGGCTGCTAAGTAATTCGTAATGATATTACTTTAAACTTGTTAAAAGGCAACATCACAGGTGTGGGAAAGAGAAATAAAATGTATTAACAAAGCAGTGAAAACTGTGGGGAAAAAAAGAGAAATTGGTGTGATGAAAGAGTATTATTTTATAATCCAGTTTATCCAGGTTTACCACAGAGCAACAGCTCAGATGAGGTTAGCCCTGTGCTTACAAAGTTCACTCACCTCCAACTGTCGCTGCACAGATTACAGTCTATGTTGCCATGTCTTTGCATGTACCATTTTATCCAAATGTGGCTTCCTGCAGTTTGTTTTCTTTTCTGAGCAAATTGCAGCATAAATGAGCACATTTAATTGTTTATGCCCTCATGTCCATTTCTGTTTTGCTGCAGGCACAAACAAGAATGATTGTTCTTTGTCCTCTGTATTTAATCTGTTGTCCAGCATGTGTTGCTTTCAGTAATCAGTATGTCCATGTTTTTATATAGTATTTCTAGCTTTTAGCAGTCTTCGGGTTTCTTCCCAGCTTCAGCAAGATTAGCACAAGTTAGACTTAAACTGGTATGTGTGCTGATAGACAAAATAATAAATATATGACACAATTTGCTATTACAGTAGACTAATATTGAAATAATGTTAAATGGAACACAAGTGCAATAATCTTTTGCTATAAGTTGAAATCTTGTTTTGGTAAAACACTTGATTCATGATTGATGATTGATGATTCATGGCTCCCTACTTTCAACCTACCATCACCTTTTCCTGTCCCATTATAAGGTAAAACTAAAGTAGTTTTTAAAAGCTTTTCTGATTTTAAAGTGACAGCTTGTGACCTGGACTATGTTGCTGGAGCACTGCATTAGCCTTGTTTCATTGAAGTTTTGATATTGTATTATTAATGTAAAGGATTGTGACGTTTTTAGCTTTTACCAGTACTTGTATCAAAACTCTAGATGGCAAGCTGAAGCTGTGTGTCCAGGCCAAAGAAACTAATTGATGGATAGAAACCAACTGGTTCAGCACAACATGAGCGCTGAAGACAGAGCTAGACTTCAAACATTCAGAACTGTTCCTTTTAAACATTCATTTGCACAGAAGACAGTGTGTTTTTGCATGCCATCCTAAGGCACAGGCAAAAATAAGTACAGGCCTGTAGCCATACAGGTTTGGTGCCAGCTATGGTTTGGGTTTTGGTGCGTAGATCACTGACGGACACTGTCAAATAGAAGAAATCATGCCAGCCACTCTCATGATATAAAGTTGTAATTTATGTTGGTCATTTTTATCTCAGGGCCAGACAGCTGCACAGCGTTAAAAGACCTATTATTTCCTTTTAATTTGTATTTGGTGCCATCTTGTAATGAGGCATTGCCATAAAAAGAGTGTGGCACACAAAACCTGTTATTATTGTCCTGTCCTTTCTGCCGAGGCTCTCTGCAGTCATCTGTGTCTGGAGCACTTAGCCCGAATTAGAGCAGCTCCCTTTTATATCCTCTCTCTTTCACCGACTTTAAGTTTGTGCAAGAGAGGATATAAAAAAGGATATAAAAGGAAGCAGGTCTTGGCTAGGATATAAAAGGATATAAAAGGAAGCAGGTCTTGGCTAGGTGATGAAGTGAGGCTCCCCCTTCAGAGATCCCGTGCTTTGGTGAGAGCGTCTTCAGCGCATCGGTGCCTGACTGTCAGAGAGAGACAAGGTTGACCCTGAATCCTGGGAGAGTTGTTAAAATTAAAGTTAGCTTGTGTGGTTATGTGTATGTGTGTCGTTTTATTTTTGTGATTAACCTGGATTATTAGCATTCTCTGCCTCAGTAGCTCATTTCCCGTCGGCCATGGCATTCGTCTGGTGGCAGTTGTAATAGCTTATTTTGTGTGTGTATCCTAGAGCTTCCTGCTAAACTCCAGGTAAAGCAAAGGCACAGTCAGATACCCCCCACCAACTGACATATTTGGTTGTGTTCTTAAAAATCAAAATGGAGATAGGAGTCAATATGTGTATACATACGTGGGGGTGAATATGTGGTCAGGATCTCTGCACCTTTTCTGTCTGCACAAACTGCATCACCACTGTTAAAACAATAATTATAGCAGCCTGTCCTCATGACTGCCCTTACAGTAAATAGTCAAACTTGTCTTCCTCTTTACCTCTCACTCCCCCTTTTTTTTTAGGTGATATCCATGGGCAGTACACAGATCTACTGAGGCTGTTTGAGTATGGTGGCTTCCCTCCGGAGGCAAACTACCTTTTCCTGGGTGACTACGTGGACAGAGGGAAACAGTCCCTGGAGACCATCTGCCTCCTGTTGGCCTACAAGATCAAATACCCAGAGAACTTTTTCCTGCTCAGGGGCAACCATGAGTGTGCTTCCATCAACCGTATCTATGGGTTCTACGATGAGTGTGAGTGGAAATAAACTCACCCTGCACACGCAAACAGCCCTGAAGCACATACACAAGTTTGGTTCAAATAACCCATTTTTGTGTGTTCTAACAGGCAAGCGCAGGTTCAACATTAAGTTGTGGAAGACCTTCACTGACTGCTTTAACTGCCTCCCCATTGCTGCTATCATTGATGAGAAGATCTTCTGCTGCCACGGAGGTAAGAGAACTGTTGGCACATATTTCCTCCCTTTGTCATAAATGTAAACCAGAACTTTTTGATTGCCTTGTTCAAAATACATCTGTAACAAATCCAATCAATGGTAACCTCTTTATTTTCTATTTTTAGGTCTATCGCCTGATTTGCAGTCAATGGAGCAGATTCGCAGGATCATGAGGCCAACAGACGTGCCTGATACAGGTACTGTGTGTGCTTGTTTATACTGAGCATGTTCACTTCCTCCTGTATTCCTCCCTGGAATTTAACGTTTACCTTTAAATCACAACACCTAGCCTCTTTCTTCCTGAATGAACGACTATGACATCAGTAGATCTCCTGCGTGACATCAGCAAAGTCAGCGGGCTCTCTTTTTTTTGTGTGTGTTCTTTACTTCGATCTCTCCACTCCATGTGTGTCTGTCAGGCCTGCTGTGTGACCTTTTGTGGTCAGACCCAGATAAGGATGTGCAAGGTTGGGGAGAGAACGACCGCGGGGTCTCCTTCACCTTTGGGGCAGATGTGGTCAGCAAGTTCCTGAACCGCCACGACCTGGACCTCATCTGCAGAGCCCACCAGGTAATTACGAAGAGAATGAAGGTAGAGAGCCTGGATATTGAGTGTAAATTGCCCCCCCCAAACAAAAAGTGGTTGGCCATGCACTTTAATGATAGCTGACCTCCATTAGTTTGTGTCTTTGGTAGAAGTAATTACTGTGGCTGATGCAAAGACACAGACACCTGCGCTAAACCACATTTTAATAGTGTCTACTTTTCTGCTCCCCATGCATCATTCAGTATAACTCGATTTTGCACTCAGTAATTGTCAATCACTTTTTTTTTTTTTTGCCGAAGTAAAATAATATGGAACAGAGAATGAGAAGCTACTGCATTTGTGACACTGACATCAGGTATATTATTTACCTGACAGATGAGCACAACAGTTGTTATTGTTAAATTGGCCGCAGCTATTTTAGCTCTGCTTTGGAGTGTTTCATATTGATTCAGGTGTAGGTGGTTTTGCACACCCAAGCCATGCTAGCAAAGTTGGACCCTGAAACTAGCTGAAGATCTGTTTCTTGGTATTGATTGCAGTGGGCGGTGGAATAATGTCATGTGTCTTCTAACAGGTTGTGGAGGATGGATATGAGTTCTTCGCCAAACGCCAACTGGTCACACTTTTCTCTGCTCCAAACTACTGCGGGGAGTTCGACAACGCAGGCGGCATGATGAGTGTTGATGAATCCCTCATGTGCTCCTTCCAGGTAGTGTGACAACTAAAGGGATTTAATTCATGCTAATTGCCTTTTGAAATATGACTGAACGCATTATCTCAGACACTCACACATGTATCTCCTCGCTCTCTGTCTTATGTGTTTGTGTCTCATTATTTAAAGATCCTAAAGCCCTCAGAGAAGAAGGCCAAGTACCAATATGGTGGTGTAAATTCTGGTCGGCCCGTCACCCCACCCCGCACCGCCCAAGCCCCCAAGAAGAGGTGAACGTACAGTCTGCCCCCCCCCCCCCCCCCTTTCTGTCTTCTGTCTTCTGTCTCACCCTGTCCGTCCCTGGTCTGCCACCACTGCAACCCCTGTAACTCCCCTGTATAGTGAAGATACAGGGCTTATCTAATTGCCCACATCTGTCTCCTCTTTCTTCCCCTCACCCACCCCCTCCTCAACTCCACTGACAGCTCTTTTTCTTAATGTGTATGTGTACATAAATTTGCTGTGACCAATCTGTTGAAAATTTTTTTTTGCCTGTTTGTTGGTATTTTTGATATTATTAACAAATAATCTTTTTTTTTTTGTGGTTTTACTTCCAATGCCATTTGAGGTTTTCTGAGGATCTGTGTCATGTAAGGAAATGCCTTCTCTGTGTAGAGAGACAAAAGAATTCTTCTTCAGTTAAATAGAAACATTGTTTTGCCTTGACCTCTCAAAAAGCAGAGATGAACCCTTCAATGAGACTGAGGTTTCTGTGCGATGCAAAAATCCAAAGAGACACAAATAACATCTCTCATGTTCCAGTTTAACCGTTTGAACACATTATAGCATATGCGGTGAACTTGCGGTTGTTGTGCACATTTTACATATTTAACTATTGAACGAGTGCTACTCCCAAAGACCAGCAAAGAATGTGAAAAGACCAGTTTGAATGAAATATAGAGGCTAAATCAGATGCTGCCGGCAGTGGACACGCTCTACCCGAACACAACGCCCTCCGGGCCTCGATTCCTCCACTCTGTTATGCCTGCCTGTGCCTCAACTCCACCCCCACATAAAAACATGCCACACAGAGCTGGTATTAACATTTTCCTTGGTCTCTTTATTATTTGTTCTCCTCAAGATGATTTCCCCTCATTTAGTCATCTTGATTTGTAGTGAAAGATGCTGAGAGATTTTATTTTGATTAAATGCAAAATGCATTGCAATGCACAGGCATTTAACTATTGAACTAATAACTAATGAGTCACTTGCGTCAATATTTTACCTGCAGACATACAGGATAAATGGTGTACTAAAAGTGCTTAGAAAATTGTCCTTTCCTAGTCTTTGTATGAAGGAATAGATGAGGATAGAAAATATCTAACAGCAGGAGCTGCAATTTTGCAAGTGTCTAACATATCTGAGGAAGCCTGTACATTGTTTAAAAAGACCAAAAAAATTAAAAGTAAAAACATTAACTACATAAAAAGCAAACTTCACAAAATGCTCCACTATATTTTAAATTGTTTAGTGCACAATGAAGAACATTTGCTTTTGGAAGCTTTTAAGTAAAATTCCAGCTATCCTCCTTCTACATCAGCCAATCTTCTTAAGCACAGAGTAAGAAAACTGGTGGAGTCAGGAGTGGGTGGCAGAACCAGGCTGTTTTGATATGTGATAGTGATGCCACCTGGTGTATAAAAGCAGTAGTACAGTACAAAGTAGTATGCACATCAGCTGTTAGGAATGTCAAAGTAGACAGCTCAGAATGGGTTTTTAATTACATTGCCAATACAAAATGTTGGTGTCATTCACCACGAGGAGGTACTTCAGTTTCGACTGGTTGGCACTCAACTTCAGTCTCCTACAAATGAGATGCAGTTGACCCCTTTTGCCTCTTTTCTGTTTAGTTCATTTTTTTGCTTTTTGTGGTAGTATTCTTTCTGTTCTCTATTCAGTGTTTACTTTATATTCACTTAATTTATTTCCAAATAATGATAATAAGAAAACAATGAGGTGTTACCAAAAGCTGTTTTGCAATTTGTATAAGTTTGTTTGAAAGTCTATAAATTCAATTAAAATGGATGGAAACCATTGTTGTCACCTCTGTTTTTACTGATGTATTTGCAAGATGAACATATGTCTGTGTACTGTCAAGAAATTTACTATTCCCTCTACACTTCTTTGTCTCAACATGCTACTGATACTTAACATTTTTCTATAGACCTGAAAGAGAAAGGGCCTACAAGGTAAAATCCAAAATCATGCAAATTTCTGACCAGTCAATAAGTCATACTCACTGGTAGAAATAAATGAAAAGCAGAGGAACTCTTTCTGTGTTTTGCTAATGTGTCATTCATCCCATAGTACATTTGATGCAACTTTATACTTACAATACCTATACTACATTTTGTATGCAGATATTGTACCTTTTTCTCCTCTACGTTAATTTGACAACATTAGTTAAACTAGTAACTTTGCAGATTCAGATTCTTAATACAACATATAAATCCACTGCTAGATTATTGAATTTTATTTTAAATTAAACTACCCAGCAGTATATACAGTATATAAAGTAATTAATATTACCTCCACCTTAACCAGCTGCAAATTAGAGTGATAAACACATTAATGCATTAATAATTATAATATACATTATTCTAAAATGGGCCATTCTGCTTAATGCATATTTTTACTTGTGGTTTTTATACTCCTTATTACTTTTACTTAAGTCAGATTTTGAATGCTGGACTTTTACTTGTAACAGAGTATTTTTACGCTGTGGTATTACAAGTTTCACTTAAGTAAAGATCTGATGCTGCGTTCCAGGCAACTTGGAACTCAAAAAAGATTTCTGATCTCCAACTAGAAAAACTATCCTGGAACGCCACCTGAAGTCGGGTTTCCTAGTCGGGAGAAAAAATATGTACCCCAACTTCTTGAGTAGCAGCTGAATGACGTCACAAAACAATGTCAGCGCTCATGGAAGCACACACTGTAAATGGTAAATAATAACCTGAAAGGCACCATAAAGCATATTTGCATGTATTTCAATTAAAATAATATATGCAATCATAAAACCTGTTCAGCATGTACATTCATGTAGAAATATGTTATTGCCTATTAGGTAGCTGGCTATAGTAAAGAACCTCATAAAGGCATCTTCTCTGCATAAAAGTTATTAAAAATGCCAAAACATTAGGAAGTGTAACCTACAACATTGAATGACTTGATGGTTACCAACTGATGTAGCTAGAGGGGTACACAGTTACAACATATAAGCTATTTATGTCACTTGTTTGCATTTAAACTGCCATCCTTTTAATTAACACCTAAAGCACTGCCGAAGGTGCAACTGTGTGTACACTGTGAAACGGTCTGCCATGGTTTTCGTTCACTTTCGGCGTCATGCACCACCATGCTACTGGAACGTTTTGAGGTTGGAAGTTGGATATTTCAACTTGGAAACTTCCCAGTTCCGAGCAGTCTGGCATGAGTTCTTGTTTTCATGGCATCAATGTATTGGTCCTTTTTAGTGAGGATTGTTTGTGTAATACACCTTCCCAAACGAAAGGGGGCGAACCCTGATTCAGTTTGACTGTTGTTGACTGGACCGCAGCAGCGTACAACACCCGCTTCCTACACAACATGGATGGGTCACAGTCACTGCGCATTCCCAGCTGCGGCGTTTACAGATCTACGAATGACGTTTTCCAGGACAAGCTACTGAACCAGAAGTGCAGGTCGTTTCTCGTCTTTTGCATCTCATGCAACAAAAATAATTTATGAAGAGTCGTGCTATATAGCTTATATTTAATGTAGAATATTCAATAGACCCAGACTTGGTACGGTACAAGTGAAGTAACGTTAAGTGTGTCGTAGGACAAAACTAATATTGTGTCACCCCTGTTATTCTTGGCCGCTGTGGAAGTCTAAAGTTCATCAATGCAGGTAGAGTTGAAGTAGCTAACGTTGTTAGCTTGTTAGTTGTGTCTTTAGGCCTCGCTGACTGCAGTAGCTGTAAGGGGTAAAGCATAATGAGCGTACTGCAATGGTTGTAACTCTGTATCAGACAGGACTTCCGCATAGTATGCAGTCAATTAAAATAACTCTATCATCAGTGCATCTCTATATGGCTTCCTGCGCCTCTTGTTTGTTCTCTGCTTTTTAGAGCGCATCGATTATTGATATATTGTTTAGATCATTTTTCAAACAAAACTGCCAAGCGTTTAATGCCTGCCTCCTGTTAAATATGAGAATTTGCTGTTTTTCTTTGCCTTACATTGTAGTAAACTGGACGAGAGCTGCAACAGTTAGTCGATTAATCGATTAGTCGCTGACAGAACATTTATTGGAACTTTTTAAATAATTTTTCAAGCAAAACAGCTTTTTGCATTTGCTCATGAAATGTGAATTTTTGGTGCAAGACATTTGAAGCGATCACCTTGAGTTCTGACAAATCGTGATGGGTATTTTTTTATCAAGAAAATAATTGTTAGTTTCACACTAAACTGAACATCTATGGGTTTGAGCTGTTGGTCAGGAAAAAAATAAGGGTTACAATAAACTGATGGCCATTTGTCACTGTGTTCTTTTATAGACCAAATGAGTAGTTGATTAATCACGAAAATAATTGTTAGTTGCAGCCCTTTTGTAACAATATCCCTTGTTTCCTCAAACCTTCAGGCTCAACAGAAACTCACCGATCGAGGTTCAATGGCATCCTGTCCAACACTTCACTGCTTTCTCAACAGTGAACTGTGGAAAGCATCAAGCACTGACTGAAGAATGGCAAGATTTAGGCGCAAGTTTTGCATCACATTAGTTGCTTTGGTGTTGCTTGTGCTCATAATAACAGTGGTCTTGAAGACGCTTACACCAGAGGACTCTGTTGGTGTGGAGCTGTTACTGGACAAAAAGGATGAGAACCAGCGAGAAAACAACAAGCCTGACCAGACCAAAATGAAAGACCCTGCTCAGTCAGACAAAGATGCAAAACTGGAGACTACACTGAGGAAGTTCCCTCCTCCTAACTACTATCTCCATGCCTTCTACTATGCGTGGTATGGGAACCCAAAGTTTGATGGCAAATATATCCACTGGGATCACCCGCAGCTGCCACACTGGGACTTCAAGGTGGCTCAGGGATATCCACAAGGGAGACACAGCCCACCTGATGACATTGGGTCCAACTTCTACCCTTCTTTAGGGGCTTACAGTTCCAGGGATCCCTCCATTATAGAGGCTCATATGCAGCAGCTGCGCACAGCAGCCATTGGTAAGACAGAACTTCACCTGAACTTAAATCTCCAGGGCTGACCAATAATGCAACATTATCACTGTTTCCATTTTTCAAACCATTTTGTGATGATATCATGATACTGTGAGATTATGATAGTCCTGGGCAATGTGGTTAAAATATAGCAATGCATACTGATCTAATTTAATTCAAATTATATACAGTTTTTTTGTCAACATCATTATAAAATTCTGTGATTCTGCTATGAGTTACATTCATTAAGTTATGTTGGGCTGCTGACTATAGCCACAGCACTCCCCGGCCTCATGTTAACATACATAAAAATGATCTGGGGAAAAAGAGAGCACTGGTGTAGGATCAGTACTCTCTCGGTATTGGCAGGTACTGAGAAAGTGGGAAAAGGCAGGATTAGTGCATCTTTATTGAGATCACAAATCCAGTAATAAAATATACCATACGATAGCACATGTGTACAAAATCACATGTAAAATAATAATAATAATAAAACTGATTTTCAATGCAATTAATGAATCTGACAAAACTCTACCTACAGTTTAAAACACAAAATCTAAATCACCATCGCCTATGATTATGTATATATGTTATATGTATATGTTATGTAACTGCTGTCCAGGTACTGCACTGTGGGTGATTAGGATGGGTTAAATGAAGTGAACAAATTCCACATACATTGTACTGTGTATAAAATTGTATGAGGCCAATAAAGTTGATTATCATTATTAATTATTAAATCATAATATTGAGTTACTGCCAGCACTATCTTTTTATAATACATAAGGCAGAGATGATAATGATTTCATTATTTATGGTGTCATTTTTGGACATTACACTGTAGTCTTATATTCAAATTAAATGGTCTTGTATCTACTGATTTAAAATACATAATCCATATTTTGACTGAAATCAGGAAAATTATTGTCAGCATGTTCATTTCTGCCCTTACCAGATAACCACCACAGATTTACTATGACTGCAATACATTTACACTATATGAGTATCTCATTATGAACATTTATGAGTGTTTGCTTTCATTTCGGGTTCAGGGTTCATGTTTGTAACTGTTAATTTTCAGGTGTCATCGCTGTTTCCTGGTATCCTCCTAATACAAAGGATGATAATGGGGAGCCAATGGATGACTTTGTGCCTTTGCTGCTGGAAGTGGCACATAAATACCATATTAAGGTCTGTATGAACATGAGTGAGTTAAATAGCCTTTTGTGTTGTTTTTACCAGCTGTCTAAACAGTTTTTTTGAATCTATATATGTATACTGAGTTTGGGTCTGTCTGTCTCCACACACAACCACGAACACTGTATAACGGGGCTCAGAAATGTTAGCTGCGCACATACAGCATGTGGTGCGGTCCACACATGACTTACGTGAATGACTAATCATTCATGCAGCACACCTGGACACACCACCGCTCATGATTATTTTAAAACGGCTTGCGTGAACCCACTTTTAAAGAAACCTGGTTTAGATCCCTCCCTCCCACATAATTTTAGACCAATTTCAAAACTGCCTTTTATTGCAAAGATTCTAGAAAGAATTGTGTCCAAACAGCTGCTCACTGTACTGGAAAATAACAAATTATTTGAAAAGTTTCAGTCTGGTTTTAGGAAGTACCACAGCACTGAGACTGCCCTGCTTAAAGTCACCAATGACCTTTTAATGTCTGCTGATGAAGGTATGTGCTCAGTCCTGGTACTCCTGGACCTTAGCGCTGCTTTTGACACCATTGATCACGTTAGACAGACTGAGGCACTGGGTGGGGATCTCTGGTACTGCTCTAGAATGGTTTTCATCCTACCTGTCAAATAGGAAGTTTTGCGTGTCTGTAAACAACTATGTCTCTTCATTCTGTCCAGTTAAATATGGTGTGCCTCAGGGGTCTGTCTTAGGACCCATTTTGTTTTCCTTGTATCTGCTTCCCCTTGGACATATTATCCATAAACATGGCATTTCTTTTCATATTTATGCTGATGACACACAAATATACTTGCCCGTCAGATCCACAGACCCTGGAATGCTGAGTTCACTTAACAACTGCCTTTGTGAAGTTAAAAAATGGATGTCAAATAATTTCCTCCAGCTGAACTCAGACAAAACACAAATCCTGGTCATCGGGTCTCAGCAGATGGCAAATCAAATACTGCCATCTGCTGGTTCCCTAGTAAATCAAATTAAGTCTGTGGCAAAGAACCTTGGTGTTTGGTTTGATAGTAATTTAAATTTTGAGCAGCACACCACAAAGCTTGTTCAATCATGTTTTTATCAACTTAGAAATATAGCTAAAATTCGATCTATGTTAACTTTTAAGGACACCGAGACCATTTTACACGCCTTCATCTCATCACGCCTGGATTATTGCAACAGCCTTTTCACCTGTTTAACCCAAAAATCTATTGATCGACTCCAGACTGTCCAGAACTCAGCTGCCAGGCTTTTAACCAGAACAAAGAAATATTTTAGCCTATTTTAGCTTCATTACACTGGCTCCCAGTATGTTTTAGAATTGACTTTAAAATTCTATTGATCACTTTTAAAGCTCTTCATGGCCTCTCGCCTTGTTATATTTCTGACCTTTTAGTCCCATACGCACCAGCACGTACCTTGAGATCCTCGGGCAGAGGTCTGTTGTCTGTTCCAGAGTCTCGACTGAAAACTAAAGGGGACAGAGCGTTTTCTGTCAGGGCCCCGAGGCTCTGGAACAGCCTGCCCGAGGAAATCAGGTCGGCTGAGTCAGTGAACTCTTTTAAGTCCCTTCTTAAAACATACTTTTATAGGAGAGCTTTTCCCGATCTTATTTGACTTTATTTTATCCCTTTTATTGTATTTTACTAATTTTATATTAAATTTTCATGCTCTTATCTTTTTTGTATTATTCTTTACACTTGTTAAAGCACTTTGTAACTTGTTTTTGAAAAGTGCTCTACAAATAAGGATTATTATTATTATTAATGTATAGGCCTACATACAGTACTGTGCTCAGGGGCACTTGACAGATATGGCATAATCATAGGCGATGATGATAATGAAGATTAACAAAAGTAGCTCATTTAGATTGTGTGTTTTATAATGTAGGTAGAGTTTTGTCAGAGTCACTGCATAACAGTGGAACACAGTTAATTGCATTGGAGATCAGGTTGATTATTTCAACTTTATCACTGGATTTGTGATAAAGATGCACTGATCCTACTTTCTTCCTCCCGATACAGAGACTGATACCTCAGCTCAGGCTGTCCAATACAGAGTGCTGATCCTACACCTGCGCTCCCTTTTCCCTAGATCATTTTTATATATATAACAATGTTTTGCCATTGGAAGTTTTTATCCTTTAAACCTGCAGTGCAGAACTTTTGAATCTCCTTTCTGACAGTGAGAGTAATTACCCAACAGTTATGACGTATTGGCTCTGCCATACTGAGTTGCTGCTGTCCCTATGGTTGCTCCCCCCTTAGGCTCTGGCAAACCTTGCATCACTACCAGTTCGCCAGTGCAGCAATGTTGCCACAGACAAAACTGTGGTATACTTATGCAATAGCTCACGACAGGCTGTTGTATATGCTTATTATATCACAGTTAAGGGTTGTTGTTCAGCCCGACACAAGATTGTGCAGCCACTAAAAAACTCTACTTACTCTCATCTCTCATCTCATTTCTTACTTCACTTTCTCTCATTTCAGTTGCCAATAGCAATAGCTGGAGAGAGCCTTCACACTTGTGTCCACTCAGCTATAATCTCTCTCGATTCAGCTCTCTCGTTTTTGAATTGTGGTACTGCAGTGGTTTGCATATCCTAGCCATCTCTCTGCTTACTCGCATATTCTTAGCAACATTGTTGCCAGGTGATACTGTGGTACTGATACTGTGCCTGGTATTACTTTCTAACGTCACTTTGTCACAGAGTGATACGGATCTGTGTAAAGGAATTTGACGTCATAGCTGTTGTACATGCCCATTATACCACTAGTATGAACCAATCAGTTTCCTCCATTTTATAATGCGAAATACAGGGAGATTTACCTGTCAGACTTAATCAGCATTGTGTGAACTTGTTTGGCAAGGGCTTGAATGTAACAGAAGTTCATCTATATGTAGAAGTCCCGTACTCCAGCATTAATGTTGCTCTCATTTATGTGTTTTCAGGTACTGTTTCACATTGAACCATACAAAGGAAGAGATGAAGTCAACATGTTCACTAATGTCAAATACATCATTGAGAAGTGAGTAGTGCTGTGTTTCTTCAGTGTTGTCAGTCAAATGTCAGCACCATGATCTTACACTCCCTCTGGAAATCATTCTGTCATGATTCATTGCATCAATTCAATAATTATGTTTGAGTCAGTCTTTCTGTCCCTATGACATTTTTCTTTCTTCAGTTGTTTAGCTTGTGTCATATACCTCCTCCTCTTCTCAGATATGGAGAGCACCCTGCTTTCTTCAAGTACCGAACAAACACTGGCAAGCTTCTTCCACTCTTCTATGTGTATGACTCATATCTGATGAACTCGGAGCAGTGGGCCAAACTTCTAAAACACACAGAAAGAAACAGCATCAGGGATACTCCGTATGATGCCATTTTCATCGCCCTGCTGGTTGAGGAGAAACATAAACGGGATATTCTGACTGCTGGTTTTGATGGTGTCTACACCTACTTTGCTACAAATGGTTTTTCCTATGGGTCCACTCAGCGGAACTGGGAATCTATTAAGTCTTTCTGTGAAGATAACAACCTGATATTCATCCCAAGTGTGGGTCCTGGTTATATTGACACAAGCATTCGACCCTGGAACTTCCAAAACACGCGAAACCGCATCAATGGCAAATACTATGAAACCTCACTGAGTGCTGCATTGCAAGCCAGGCCTGATTTTATCTCTATAACATCATTTAATGAATGGCATGAGGGGACTCAGATTGAAATGGCAATTCCCAAAACAAGTCAGACTGTGTATCTGGATTACCTGCCCAATAAACCTGCAATTTACCTGGAGATAACTCGCAAATGGGCTGCGATTTTTGGTGGCGAGAGACGGAAATGGCAGGAATGACCTGACCAAGAGCCGTAGTGAATGTTAATTCATCGCTGAATAAAATAATTACATCAACGCTAAATGAAGTTGTTGCAGAATGCAAAACAAAATGAAGACGATGAATAACTGAGAACGGGTAGTGATGTATGTGATTTTTTTGTTGATTTTTTTTTTAAACCTGGGAGGGGTATTATTGTTAATTACACTGATGTCTTTTTACTTCTTGTTTACACAGCCTTGAACATTTTTGGATTCATAACGTAATTGCCATGTTTTATCACTGTCTCCACTGTATCCAGCTGAAACTGTGCATAGGCATGTTTTGCTGTCCTGTAATCTGTGACTATATTAAACCTAGGTAAGAAATTAATAAAGTGCACTCTGGTAAAGTAGAAAGACACTAACAAAGCAAAAGCTGTCTCCTCACTCTGCTTCCAACTCTGCCTCAGACCAAAAAACAGTACAAGGAAAAAGCACCACATAGATCTTGATATGTGAAAGGCATGTCAACCTCAAGTCGGAGATGAATCAGTGATGACAACAGCAGAGGGATAATATTACAGCAGTTCAGTTATTGAAACAGGCAAAGAGCCCAGAGAGAGTGGATGGCAAAATCAAGATTTTTATCTGTGGAATAATTTCTTGTTAATGGAAGGATACTGGTGTATGCCTGTTACATGTCATGGTGTCAAAGTAGCATGTTTCTGAATGTGTCACATAAAGACACTTTACCACCTCTCTTTTTTTAATATTGGATCTTCCTTGATGCGAATTTTGCATATTGGGAGGAAATGTTTAATTTCATGTCACTGTTATGGGATTAAAATGCATGTGATGAAACACTCTGGAATAATAACTTCTCCATTTCCAAACACAGTGCATCAGTGTTTGTATTGACTGACCAAATACATCCACTTGGTAAAAGTTGAACAAAGGTGAATTCTGACTTTGCAGGATGCAAGTATAATGTGACCAAACCTTAAACCTGTAATAACTTATTTTTATTGGATGCTAAGCTGACAGGAGCTGCAGATTTGGGTGATAAGTCTGTAGGTTCGTCACTGGCTTCACGCTGTTGTCTCATTGTTTTCAATTGATTCATTTTATTTGATACACTTATTATAAAAATATAGATTATAGTTGATGTAAGCCAGCATTACAAACTGGGGTTATGAAGTTGGAAAGATGTAAGAATTTCAGGGCAGAGAGGGGGGGTCTAATGAAAGACTCAACTGAGTTGCATTATGGGAATTGGGTCTATGTGTTTTTGGAGCTTGGCCCATACAAGGTTATAGTAAAAGTTGTGATATCTCAGCTTTTGCGCCTTCGATTTTGGTAATTCTTTTTAAAAATATGTCTCTCACAAGTCCCCCAACTTTATGGAAGTGCAATAATAAAACGCAAGTGTCCTTTTAAATAATGAATTTATGAGCTAATAGGCAATAATGGTACTAATAGCCACATTAGGAAGTGCCTCTTTTTATCTGTAGAATAATTGGCCACTGTTGTATTGAGGCCTCGGTCTCTTCATAGTGGCAAGTGATGTAAATGACATGAAAATGTGAATATTAGCATGAATTAGTTAACTGATGTTTGATTTGGTTAGAGGCTGAGGGTGTGAGACATGGTGGTCAGCCTTTGGCTTGCCGCTACATCACTAATAGGCAGCCACGTACCACAAACCTCCTATTACTCCCTTTACTTGGATAAACCGTCGACACCGGCCAAGTGAGGGGAGAACCTTTGATCCGTGCTTCCTCGCGGCAGGAATGATTCACCTTTTTATTAAAATGGGAACCTTAATCAGATGATTGAAGTGTAATATGCACTTACGCTGAATCTCAGCATCCCACACACACACAAACACGCACACACTGGAGCTCCGCGACAGCCTGCAGCTGCATTGACGGTAAACAGAGCAAGGTAGCGCATGGGCAGCCAGCAGGGAATTATTCCACATCGCATCACATCCCTGAGCATACATGGCGTCCTCACACACCGAGCTATGAATTTAGTGTGCAGGCTGACGGGGTAGCCGCCAATTTTTTATTTTTTATTTTTTTTATTATTTTTTTATTTTTTTGCAGCCATCGTTCTATGCGTCGGTGTGCAGCAGTGGGAAACATTGAGCTCACATTGCTACAGTGGGTACCATCATTTGCTGGATCAAGACGATGGATGTGGGCTTATACGGATCTATTCCTGCAAATACGGCGGACAGACGCGAGTTTTTATTCCAAATGCATCCACATCTTCCGTATGTTGCAAGGTGTCTTTGAGAAGGATACGGACCTCCGGAGGAAATGAGAAGAAAGGTCTATTTTGACTCACGCCTGTCGAGATGGTGAGTGAAATGCATGTCTATTTTTTCCTTGCAACCCATGGCTGAGCAGCGGCACCTGTTTTTTTTGTTTGTTTGTTTGTTTGTTTTTTGACGGCAAATCCTCGCCAGCTAATTAAAAACGATCTCCACGGAAACATATCACAGAAAATATACTGACCGGCGCTTTCTCATTTTCCTCGGGGTGTTTATTTTACATATCACGTTTCAAGCACTAGACAGTTAAGGGGAATATAAAGGGTTTTCTCCAGTGAATGCACTTGTATTTCAAATCTTACATTGCAGTCTCAGCTGGATTTGCGTTGCACAACGTTATATTTTTCAGCACCATCCTCCTCGCTATTATCTTCTGCGCGTTTAGTGCGCAAAAGGGTGTTGTGTTAGGGAACACATGAAATATCCCAGTGAGTCTCCAATATTCTTATTAACTTCGATGCAATGTCACGCCAAAAGACCATTTTAAACAGTGGCTCGAATATAGCATCACGTTTTATGACCTTCAGTGCTCGGTGGCTGGAAACTGATTCTCACCTGAGATGGAGTGTCCTTTTACGATTGGCGCTGTGGCCTTCCTGACAGAATACACATAAATCAATGCGAAAATAGAAATCAAATGTCATTTTGCAGGACATGAGCGCTTTCTTTTTGCCCCGTAGCTTACCTGTTACTAACACCACATAAGTGATTTGATGCGTCTCTGTGACTGATGCTACCAAAAATCTGTGGTTGCGTTTTTTCTGCCTCTCTCCAGTCATTTCAAACGTAGCCTCGCTGCAGACTACTCACCCATGCGGTGCTCTTTCCTTGTCCCAAATACATCACAATGCATTTGACAAACCCCCTTGTTATGTTGTTTAAAATCTGATTGAATGCCTGAGCTGCATGTGTCTCACTCAGGTCTCATTTCATGGTAGGCTACAGAGATGAAAAAAAGAGGGGAACATAACAACTGTGTGAGCCTTATTAGCCTCTCATGTTAAATACTCTGACCTCAGCACCATCACCATGGAGACACTATAACTTTACAACACACTGCATATTTAACAGGCCTGATTTTGATCCCTGCATTGCTGTACATTTCAGCCTTTCTAGATCTTTGTTTTACATATTTTACAGCAACATTTGAAGGTATGCATGGGCTGCATCATCTGTAAAGCAAAGAACCCACCGCTGCTGCTGACAGAAACATGTTTCAGAGGAGTAAGAGGATTTGCCTACATAAAAATGTATTGATAAGCCTTTAAAAGGAGCAGCACTCAGCTGGTTCTGGTTCATGTGACCTCTGTGAACAGATCTTCATACCTAAGTCACAGATGGGAGAGATGAAGGGGTGCACATAAGGCCAATATCACTCCCCGTATGTCATATTGGGCAGATAGTGTGAGGAAAATCAATGTTGGAGCTGGTCTTACTCATTTAAATCTGCCTCAGCGATGTGTTTCAAGGTCTGTTTCTGCATGGCATCTTAATCTGCTTGTATGGCCTCTTTATGCAACATGCAGGTGTGCTGAGCCCCAGAGAGCTGCGGGCAGGGGGCCTTTCTACTCTCGTCCGCCTTAAGATGGTAGCATTCTCTTACAATACACAGTGTATGCCAAAAACTAATAACAGCTGGAAGCTTACAACCGTGCTTAACTAGCAAATTTTAAATAATATCCAGGATTAACTGACAATTTTGCAATAACCTTAGTGTTTTCATTTTATGTCCCACCTAAATTTAAAAGATGTGTTTCTTGAGATGAAGCTTATCTCTGCATGTTGATTGCATATAACCTCCAGATGTGATGCTGCATGCTTTTTCTCTGGTGATATTCAGTTACTTTCCCCGAGCTCTAGCCCTAACTGATTCTCTCTGATTCTCTCTCTCTGATTCTCTGTCTCTGCTCACGTAAAGGAGGCATCATTAAGAAGACCTGTACATTCAAGATCAAACACACCTCATTAGATCATTACGGATCATTGTTATTCTGCGAAAGAGCGAAGAGGCATCTCTTAGCTTTTTTTCTGTCTATGAGCACTGAATCACAAAGAAGATTGATCCCACCATCGACCGCATGTAGGAACTGCTCCCTCCGATTCCCACAACCTCTACTCTTGCTTGGATTTTAGCATTCAGTCAAATCCACCAGGTTTGTATTGTGCCTGAGGCGGCAACACATTTTTCTTAATCCAAAGTAGTGGGTGCCTTACGCATGGCAGGGTGTATACTCATAGATTATAGCATGAATAGGAATGCTGTGTTCCCATGCAGATGCTCACAAACCAACTGTATTTAATTGAGGCACAAATGATGCTCAGAATCAATGATCCAATATAATAGACATTATAAACACATGGTGGTAATGTGCAACACACTTTTACATGATTAGGTGATTAGCCTGAATGTTGTATCCTGTTGATCATGACTTTGTTCTGACTTTTCTTCATTGGTGTGCCCTTTTCAGGACAGAGTATGCCATCTGCACCTTTTCACAGAATCCTACGACCCCTTCTACTCGGCACTTTCGTACTGGGATGCTTTGTGACTCTGTTTTTGATGTATTTTAAACCATCCACCAGCTGGTTATCGGGACCTGTGGAGTCAACAGAATCCACAGACCGGGTCAAGAACCTCTTCTCCACCAAGAGTGATAGAAACGTAACCACCGTATTGATCTGGCTGTGGCCCTTCGGACAAACCTACGACCTGAGTGTGTGTAGCTCTCTCTTCAATATCGAGGGCTGTTTCATCACAGCGGACAGGAACCTCTACAACAAGTCGGATGGGGTCGTCATCCATCACCGAGACATCTGCACTGACCAGTCTAACCTGCCGCCAGTCCAGCGACCCTCCTTCCAGAAATGGATATGGATGAACTTAGAGTCGCCGTCGCACTCCTCCCAGCTTCCTGGGATCGAGAACCTGTTCAATCTGACTCTCAATTACCGTCAGGATGCTGACATTGAAGTGCCTTATGGGTCCATTGTAGCAGCGGAGGGCGAAGAGGACTTTGTCCCACCCAGCAAAAACAAGCTGATCTGCTGGATTGTGAGCAACTGGAACCAGGACCATGTGCGGGTGAAATACTACAATGAACTGTACAAACACATTGAGGTTCACGCATATGGACAAGCCTTTGGAGAGTACATCTCTGACCAAGACTACTTCCCCACAATTGCCAGCTGTAAGTTCTACCTGGCTTTTGAGAACTCCATCCACAAGGACTACATTACTGAAAAACTGTACAACCCGCTCTCTGTGGGGACGGTGCCAGTGGTTCTTGGTCCGCCCAGGCAGAACTACGAGAACTTTATCCAGGGGGACGCCTTCATCCACGTGGACGACTTCACTTCGCCCAAGGAGCTGGCTGATTACCTGCTGCTCCTGGATAAGAATGAGGAAATGTACCTCAGGTACTTTGAGTGGCGGCGGCACTTTAAAGTAAAGAAGGCCTATTTCTGGGCAGAGCACACATGCCTGGCTTGTGATTACCTGCGTAGGCACAAGGAGTACAAGGCATTTAATAATCTTGACAAGTGGTACTGGGGCGGATAGTGCTCTGAAGGGCTATGCAGTGCTTGCTTTGTTATTGAGGGAAGTGCTTTAAGATTTTTGGCCTTCAGTTAACATGAAGGTTCATTACTGTTCTGTCCATAGCTCCCGAATGACGTTTTTCTATTGGTTCAGTGGCCCAGTGAGACATCCATCTTGTTTTTTTTAATTTGCAAATTTTGCTAAGCCTTACTTTGCCTTTTGTGTTATTCATTTATTATTTATTTTTTATGGATTGCAAATGCACTACATTTTTTATTGTTATTTCAATTCATGTTTTGCTTAACATGCCCACATTTGCTGCTATTTTTTAGGTTTTTGTTCTATTATTAGTATGAATGCTTGATTGAACGGATGTTCCCGTATAACAGAAAACATTCATGATGCACGGTTGTTGTTGTTGTTTTTCTTTAAATATCACCTCTTCATGAAATGGCACACAGCGGATATTGGACTAGTGTAGGCTGCACAAGGAGACTGACATAATAAGTGAAAATATTTATGTAATATTTATTCAAGTGAGGCATTATATGACAAAAAAAAATCTCATCTGCGCTAGTGATGCAGTCACCTATGCAGTGTTTACTGAACTCAAATGTGAAAGTATTTCAATTGTGTCATGTACATATTGTGTATTTTTGGAATTATGTAGCTGTCATTTTTTCCCATATTTTTGTAAGTTTGCATTTGCACTGCTAATCCAACTGTTACCTATCTTTACATATGTACAGTAAGACAGACGGTCATCATATTATGTGGTTGTAGATGACATATGGTGATCATTACCCCTGGTAGTCTCCGACAGCAGATGTGTCTCTGGCTGTGAGAGGGAGGTTACTATTTTAATCATGTTGTGAATTGTTCATTGTCACATGTGATGTGTCACAGTGCAGTCGGATCCCATGTGGATGATGATAGTACAGTACAGAGCCATTGTACTGCAAAATAAAACTCCCACGCACCTCTTATGTTGCATTCTAATTTGATCTACTAAAGTCTGTTATTTATTTTATTGAATACACTGACAAAGAGGAAAAAGCACAAAATGAACATATGACTGAAGCCTTTGATTAAGCTATTTTGCTGTGTGTACTGTACCGTCATCCCACAATGTGACCTTAAATATTTACACTGATATTTTCAACTATTTCAGGCAGATGTTATCATAAGATCAGTTGAGCTCTGCCCACATTTTTGCAACACCTGTTAAGAAAAATGTGAAAGATGTGACTTTTTACTGCAAGATTATCTACATTTCTGTCTTTGAATCATCCCATCGCAGTGTTTGGGACGTTAAGAGGTTGCACGTGAAATGTATTTTTCTGTATTTTTTTCTTTACACTCCTGTTTACAGTTGTGTGGCTTGCCAGCCAACCTAAACCACTGAAGATCACACATCAGCGTCTGTAGATATCACTTCACTTTGAAATGTCGTCAGAACAGCTAATCCACTAAACAATGCATCTCAACAGCACTCAGCAGCTATTGACATGATGGTTAGGTATTTATGAAAAGTACTGTGCAAGACCATGTCAACATTTTATGCAAGATGAGCCGGCGGCTTCTTGGTCAAAGTACTCGAACATGTTTCAGGTTATTATCATTTTGATATTCCTTCACTGTCAAAGGGACCATTGACGTAAATTTGGATAATTCAATATTTTTCTTATGGAATATGGTTCCAAATGCCATAGTGAAACCTGTATATAAACTTGTAGTGAACTGAATCATCATCTGGATCAAACCAGCCCACTAACACAGATCATTCCTGTATGTGCACCAGACTGAGGGAGTGTTTTCATTTATGGGGTACTGAAACAATATGTTGTATATATTTTTAATGTCCGAATCTCTTTATAACATGCAAGTGTTGTCAGGCAGTGAATGTGATTTCACTGCGCCTTTGTAAGTAATGTTGGTGCTTCAAGAGGCTATGAATTGTGGCGAAAGGAGAGAGACACTTGAAAAGGACAACCAGCGTCAGAGACGATGGTTTTAGTGCTGTGAGATGGACATTTTCGTCAAGGGAGGCAAATTTACGCTGAAGTTTATTTATTTATTTTTTATTAGGCGGTAATCCTGTTGGCATGACCTAATTGAAAACGTTGTGCCAAAATGCAGCAGAGATATAGCACTTTTATTCATGTGGAGTTGTGTGACTCACTGTGCTGGTGGCTTTCTTAGTTGGAGCTATTGTGAGTTCAGAAACTGTCATCCAAGACCTCGGCTGTCCCACAGATTAACTATGAAACTGCCATTCATAGTTTCATATTGTACAGTCCAATCTCATGTATGGAAACAAGAATTTCCCTATCCAATGTGGTCGGTGACTTTAAAGGAACATTCGTGGCGTCTGTCTATTTCATCCTTTCTTCCTTTTTCTCTTTTTTGCACAAAAACAAACATGATTAGCTGTGGCTTCTCTGACCCCTGTCTGAGTCTGTGAGTGTGTCACAGCACCAGAGAGTGAATCAGGATGTATCTTGATACTAGTCTGACCTGGCAATGATTTTGCTGGAGTCACTAAAAACACTGAATACCGGAGTGGGATGAAGTCTTTGTGTATGGCTGAACGTGAAGATTTCTGCAGAAATGCAAATTTTCTGCCAGTTTGCTGAAATAATCAGAGAGTCAATCAGTACAAGTTTTTTGCCAAATCATTGTATTTTGCCAAATGTTGTGTTTTAACTGTAGATGTCTGATAGTGTCAAAAGAAAATAAAGATATGGACAATTGAGCAAACATGAGCAGCACTTTTTTGTAAAGAGACAACAGACGAATTTGATGGCAACCTTTTGAAATAATCTTACACTGAAACCATTTTTCCAACAAAAAATAATTCTGCTGTTACAGGTACTCTTACAGGAATAGTTTACATTTTGGGAACTACACGTATTTGCTTTTTTGCCAATAGTAAAATGAGAGTGATACTCAGGTCGTAGATATACACTCTCCCGCTTGTTCAGTAAATATGTAACAATAAGTCCTAGAACTCCCTTAGTTTAGCATGAAGACTGTAAACAGGGGGAAACAACTATCCCATAGTTCATTTAATTAAGTTGTACAAAAAGCAGTTTGACAACTTATTTGATTTAACAAATATTTTTTAGTTAGTTTTGGACAGAGTCAGACTAGCTGTTTCTCATCTAATTCTCGATAAGAAAACGATTAAGGGCATTTTCCATAATGTCAAACTATTATTACTTAATTTACTTATTAACTATTAAAGTTTAGATTTTTTAGTACACGGCTCTTGTATATGCAAACGTATGTGAAAATGAGCTGGTCTTAACACATTTTACATGATGACGCATAATATATTGTTCTAGGTTCTATATCAAATATAATTTCCAAAGATGTTGCCCACGCTGTTATCCAGTGCCATGTAATACAGGCGGAGGTATAAATAGCTATCCAAAAGCCTTGATAAGTGATTGATGAGAGCGAGGAGGGTGTGTTGTGGTGGTTACGCCGCGATCCTCTGGCTGTTGTTAGTTACCCCATATCCTCGCTAGAACTCTGGTATTTGCAGTCGACTGCTCCACCACGCAGAGATGACACATCTTTGTCAACTTCATCTGCTCAATGCTGCAGGTCAATGTGTGTGATAAAAATGTGTGTGTTGCCAGGATCAGTGGTGCAAATAATCCATCCATGTCAGTTGGGGATTAATGTGAAAGTTCAAGTTGCAGGGAGGGGGATTGTCCCTCCTGTTTTCAGAACTCAAGACGGTGTCACAGAAGAGCACATTGTCCTCAGCAGTGGATTTCACATTTGATAAATACAATGCAGAACATTACTCTGTAATAATGCTAACAAACATTTTACCAGTTACCTTCTTGTCATTTAAATTCAGTTTTGAATCCTGTCATCAAATCAGACAGAAAAATGAAGCCCAGATAAGATTTCTGCCATTCTACTGACTGCTGGGCTTTTTGGATCCATCTAAGGATCTGGAACATTCACAGTAAATTTAAGCTTGTTTGTTTGTGCTGCACTATTTGTATAACAGGAAGTGTTTTGGCACAAGGCAGTGAGGATGAAGTTCTTTTTATAGGAAACTTGTTCTTGATAGCTTAAAAGAAAAGTCTTCTTTTTGGGCTCTGACACTGTCTGAGGTTGTCTAAAGATTGAGATTTTTTCTGCAGCAGGTATGTCAGATAACTCTGTTTTGCAGGCTGTGAATAACTAGGTAAAATGTTCATATATAGGTGAAATATTGAAATTAATTTTGTGCTCTGACTTGCTGGCAACCAAAGTTAATCAGCAGCTTCGTCTACACAGTTAATCCAAATACCACAGAATCTGTGGGCTGGGAGGGATCGAAGAGGAGAACATTTTAATAGGTTGTGCATTCCTAGGAGTAGACAACTTTCTCTCCTCTTTAGCAGTGGAGATCATATGTCTGGCTCTGTAACAGGTCTTGTCACCCACTCATACCATGACTCATTTTGGTGAGAACTGGGGACGGGGGTGCAGAGTCGGAGGAGGCCTTACACAGGTGCTCACAGGGCCTCCCCAAAGGGGTGTAAGGTTTTGTGAGATAGTTTAGTTAGTAGATTGTATCTCCTCACCCCCCGGCAACCCCCATGTGGCTATCCTGTTCAGTCGAAAACGCTGCGTTGAAAGCTAGCACTCCACATCGTAGAAGAGTGCAGAGGCCTGCTCAAAGGGCCAGGTTTGTGTGAGTCCTCTCATTAACTACCAGAGCCGCCGATCATCTCAACTTAATGGATCCCACTTATGCTGTCATCACCATGCCAACCAGCTGTCAACTCTGGTGCGGTGAGGCTTTGTGCTTCTGAGAGATGCAACTGTGTCGTGTTGATCCGTCTCAGTCTACAACAAGTCACCACCTCAAAGGAGCCACCAAAGTAAATGCTTCTCTTCTTCTCTGAGATCATTTGATTAAGGGTTGGGGGAGCAGCCACTGACACCTTATTGTAAAGACTGAATACATTAAGATAAGAGGACACCCGAGTCCAGGTCAAATAAAGGCCTATTTATTGGGGCTAGACAGGCCGCATACGAAATCTGTTGGCAGCTGCTCACTAGTTGACTTCAGAGGATTAAGCAGGCAAAAAGGAATACGCAAGATCAGCAAGCTTTTTGCTCTGCAGAGTTGGCACTGTCTGGTGTAGAAGTTAATAATCCAAAGGACAAAGACCAGCACCTGTTATCTCTCAGATACAAATCAGAGCGGTTATTATAAAATTACACGCACGAACGCAGAGTATCACGGAGAATATCAACACAATATACAATAATCTCTATCCAGTGTGTAACGCTGCCTGTTGACATACAATTTATTTTTCAGGACTTTCATATTGTGTTAACACACTCAAAGGGATGAGAGTTTTTGTTTGCTAGTGAATATAGGTCACCTCCATCCCAGCTTGATGTCACATGATGACAGACATACTGTGCAGCAGTCACCAATGCAACAAAGATTAGAAGCTTTTGTGAGGTAAAGACTATATTTGTCCTACCACTGGGTCTGGGTTTATTTAAGGTCTGTATGGCTTTGTGATTTGCAGCCGCTGATGTGGACACCAGCAGGGAGTGAACAATACACAAGTAATTTGATGCAGAGCACCAGATGACTGTGTAATCCAGCAGATCCGCCTATTTAGAAATAAGTAGAACCTGAAGGATGGCATGGCTTCAAATCAGAAATATGTCCTACACCTTTATGTCTGACATGTTATGGTTATCTTGTGCTGAGAGTCTTACATAACATGCAGCGTGTAGATCAAAAATAACAGTCTTACATTATTACTCAGAGGTTTGTAGATACCACCTACATACACTCTTGTTCCAACACCATCTGCTGATCCAACAATGGATTACATCTTATTTATTCACAAGAGAGTGTAATTCTAGATTAATTTCTTTACAAGGAGTGGTACTGAAGTGAATGTAGAGATAAGACAGAGGGGAAGAGAGTTCATCAGCACAGAATTGCATTCCTCTCAGCCTCATCCCTGTCATTGACCTTCCCGTGTTTGTATACTAGGGATTAGGCCTGTGGGCTGGGCTGGTGGTCTTCCCAGGCTATTTTTATGAAGACACCCGCCCCCTGATCCTTTTGGAAAACTGATATGAGCACATGTTCCAAGATTCAAATGTAATTAGTTGACTGTCAGTCACAGACGCTGAAGAAGTGGGATTTTTTTTTTCTTTTTTACCAGGTGGAAAAGGAGGATTCAGTGCAACATGCATTTTTGACACCTACAACTGTGCATCCACTTGGTATATGTGATTGAGCCAAACATACATACAGACAAATCAGAAGTATTTGATTTCTATAATGTACTATAATGATTTGGGCACAGCACTACACACTAAAAATAACTGGGTCAAAACTGATCCAGTTTGGGTAAATATAACCCCATTCCAATAACTTTACCACCCAAGAAAAGAGGTTGTTTTAATCCAGTGTTATTGTTATTTTTTATTTGTTATAATCTACTGGAGCTATTATTAAACGTACAAGTCACTATTTGTTACTGATTGTTAATAATATGTGTATCTTTTTCACTTTTGGAGGTCATGTGCATGTCGTTCTTTACTATAATACATCTGTGAGAGGTTTGAGGTAAAACTTGAAACAACACTAACACTGGGTCAAAACAATCAATTGGTACTATTTAAAGTTGACATAGTTTTGCATTGGTGCTATATTGACACAAACTGGGTACATTTTTAACCCAGTGATTTTTAGTATTTATTGCCACTTCTTGTGTTATACTATGAATGTGTTTTTAATGAGGTTACAAGAGTATGCTATCAGCAAGATGGTCACCATTAAACTGTCATTTCTGCTCCTCCTCCTTTATTTTTCCGTGGATAAATTGATCATCCACAGGCCCGCAGCTTCCATCTTCTGAAGTGCTGCCAAGGCACTCTCAATAGCCACTGAGAGGTCCTGGCATTATAGTTCAGTACCTGGCAACCACAAAGCTGCTGGCGCCTACCTCTTATAAGCCATCTGCAACTGCTTGTGTGTGTTGCAGGCACTGACAAAGGCCACAAGTGTGTCCAGACACGTCATAGCATCCAAATAGCCATCTACCTCTGCTGTGGCAATATATGATACGTGTTTATGGGGGGAAAATAGTTTTTTTAGGCTTAAAATTCATCTTTTATTAATGTGTATTTATCAGAAATTGATCAAACATTTGGGCACTGACATTAGTTGAATAGTAGGCTTTCATGTTTCCCAACAATCATCTATCTTCTAGTCCTAAAACTGCATTTCTCATTGCTTTTACTCAAAAGCAACAATGATTAAATCCGTTCAAAGGCTTCGTGATCTGTGCACCATCAGCTCCCTTAAAAGGTGCAGAATGATGTAGTGGAGCATGTTCATTCACCCCAGAGATTACCGCTAATAAGAGGGCCCGTATTTATAGAAGATCCCCCCCAGTGGATACCCCTAATCCTGACTCACCCATTTCCATCCCTGCCCCATCCCTGTGCCTGGACCGCTTGCTCACTGCAGCCCCCAGCTTCAGCCTCATCTTCGCCCCATATCAACTGAGGTAGAGACTTCTTTAATACAACACTGCTTTTTTCAGATTCTTTTGAAAGAAGGGGGGAAATTGCTTGGCCTCTGCACTTGCTTGATAAAAGGGTAGGGGATCGCTGAGACCATTACATGACATTTTCTATCTTTCCTATTGTTCTTTATTGTCCAGCTTTCCTTGTCTTTCTCTCTTTGACGTGCAGCTAAGAAAAGCATACAATGTCCACCAGCGAGCGTTTCGACTGCCATTACTGCAAAGACTCCCTGCTGGGGAAGAAGTACATAATGAAAGAAGACACTCAGTACTGCACTAAGTGCTATGAGAACCTGTTTGCCAACTGCTGTGAGGGCTGCTCTTTACCAATTGGCTGTAATTGCAAGGTAAGGAAGCATCACTTTTACCCTGAGTAATTTTGATCACATTTACCTTATAAGAATAAGTATAAAAGCTAAGAGTTATTCTTACATGTTTCATGATTCTATCCATGCACATTTTAAATGAATATTTTACTTAACAGAATATCCACAAAATGCAATACATAATGTGTTAAATATCTGCAGGATTTGTCCTACAAAGATCGCCACTGGCACGAGCAGTGTTTCAAGTGTGCAAAGTGCAGCCGCTCTCTGGTGGAAAAGGCATTTGCCGCCAAGGATGACTTGTTGCTCTGCACTGAATGCTATGCCAATGATTATTCCTCCAAGTGCACCACCTGCAAGAAAACCATCATGCCAGGTACGCTGGGATAATAATGATAATGATAATGATGATGATGCTGATCGTTATGATGACAATGACAATGACAATGATGATAACGATAACCTTATGATGAAAAGGGCTGGATGACATCACCTAAAATCAATATCACGATGCTTTTACACGTTTGACAATAAATGGTCCTCAAGGTCCACTTAGAAGCTGTTCTGGACCTTCCAATCATTCATTCAACTACTGTTTCCAACATCAAGAATAAACTTTCAATATCAACTTTTAACTCAAGGTCAAATCAAGTGATCACACAATCAAAAGCTCCAGAAAAGTTAATGTAAAGTAAATGACTAAACTTAATTTTCTTGTGTTGATTCACTTCTAGTTTATGAAATTGTTTGAAATGTTTGGGAAACACACTTATTTGCTTTCTTGTCGGGAGTTTTATGAGAAGGTCGACATAAATTTCATATCTGTACAGTCAATACAGAAGCATCAACCAGAAGCAGTTAGCTTAACTTAGCACAAAGACTAGAAACAGGTGGAAACAGCTAGCTGGACTCTGTCCAAAGGTAAGAAAATGGATCTAGAGGTACCATATGCTGACTAAGCAGCTCTCATCCTGTGCCAGGTTCCCGCAAAATGGAATACAAGGGGAACAGCTGGCATGAGACCTGTTTTCTGTGCCACCGCTGCCAGCAGCCAATGGGAACCAAGTCCTTCATCCCAAAAGACACTGGCTACTTCTGCGTGGCCTGCTTCGAGAAGCAGTTTGCCTACCAGTGCTGTGCTTGTAAGAAGGTAGGGTTACAGCTGAGTGTTTTATATGTATTGACTACTGCAGTAAATCCCCCTGACTCTGGTATTTTAATGTTAGTCATGCTGCATAAAAAAGGTATACATAGCAAGAGAAATGCCACTGTGTGTTTTCTTTCACTCTTCCCTTGTCTGGTTATGTGTTTCCTCAAGGCCATCACAACAGGTGGGGTGACCTACCAGGACAAGCCCTGGCACCGGGAGTGTTTCTTATGCATTGGGTGCAGAAAGCAGCTTTCGGGTCAACGCTTCACCTCCAGGGAAAACTACCCTTACTGCCTCGAATGCTTCAGCAACCTGTATGCAAAGAAGTGCGTGGGCTGCACCAAGCCCATCACCAGTGAGTCACCGGCTGTGTTCGTGTTTTCATTCACTCTGCCACCGCTCACGCAGTTCTCCTGCTCATATTCAAGGCCTTTATTTGCATTTGTGTAGGAACTGTCAGATAAACAAGGTGAAGATCTTGCATTAACCTGCACATTATGTAAATACATGGATAATGTTTGATGTGTGCAGGTCTGGCAGGGGCCAAGTACATCTCTTTTGAGGAGCGCCAATGGCACAGCGAGTGTTTCACCTGCACTCAGTGCTCTGTGTCGCTAGTTGGACGTGGCTTCCTCACCCAGCGCGACAACATCCTGTGCACCGACTGCGGCAGGGAGAAGTGACCTTTCCTTGAAGGTGTCACAGTAACCACAAGAGCTCATATACTGATACAGATATTGGGTTTAATGATAATGATGATGATGATGATCGTTATGATGACAATGACAATGATGATAACGATAACCTTATGATGAAAAGGCTGGATGATATCACCAATCAATATCACGATGCTTTTACACGTTTGACAATAAATGGTCCTCAAGGTCCACTTAGAAGCTGTTCTGGACCTTCCAATCATACATTCAACTACTGTTTCCAACATCAACAATAAACTTTCAATATCAACTTTTAACTCAAGATCAAATCAAGTGATCACACAATCAAAAGCTCCAGAACAGTTAGTAAATGACTAAACTTAATTTTCTTGTGTTGATTCACTTCTAGTTTATGAAATTGTTTGAAATGTTTGGGAAACACACTTATGATGATTATGATACAGATATTGGGTTTCCATTAATGTTTTTTCTTAGCATGCCTGGTACATAAACAAACTGAATGTTGAATGCTTATGTTGGTGTTATAAAATGACCATTAGTTCTCTTAAATTGCCCAAACTCACACACAAAAAAATTGTGATGTGTCCATAAAGATAAATAAATTTCTTTAAAGTTAGGGTGCTATATTATATTTCCTTTGGTGTTTTCTTTGTTTTTTTCCTCACATTTTCATTTTTGAGAATGATTATGTTACAAACATATTAGAGCTGAAGGCAACGGGTCAATTAATGGACTAGACATTTTATTTTGATAATCAATAAATCATTTCCATTATTATTTGAACAAAAACACCAAATATTTATTGGTTCCAACTTCTGAGGAGTTTGGTACTTTTTTATCATATATGAAAGTAAACAGAATATTTTAAAAAGCAATTTTAAAAAGTCACTTATTATGATTCTATTAACACTATTTTGACATTTTATGGATAAAAATATTAATTAATTAATAAAGAAAATAATCAGAAGTTTAATTGCCATTGAAAATAATTGTTAGTTGCAGCCCAAAACATATATACATTTAATGCTCTTTCATTACACATATATTTGTGCTGTATACTTGTATACTGTATGCATTGGTTATGAATGCCTAGATTAAACATTTATTCACACTGAAGAAACAAAGATTCTATCATGAGAAATACTTTACACACTAAAGGGTGTTCCAATAAAGACTTTTCTATGTATGTAATGTTGAAATGGAAATCATTCTAGGCCTGCTGTTGCTCATCCTGATATTCAGTTCAATTCAATTCAATCAATTCAATCAACTTTATTAATCCCACAAGGGGAAATTGGTTAAGAGCAGCATGTTTGCAACAGTACATGACACAAATCACACACATTATTCACAACATAAAAGCAGCCAATATGTGCACATTTAAAAACCCCAAAGAACCCTACAGGGAGTTTAAAAGTTTGATCGTAGAAGGGATGAAAGATTTGGAGTGGCGGTTCGTCTTACACACAGGAAGCGCATAACTTCGCCCAGAAGGCAACAGAGAAAATTCACCTGCCAGAGCATGTCCCGGAGATCCTAGGATACTTGCTGCCTTCCGAACTATTTGTTGGTTGCAGAAGACATTAAGGTCTCTCTGTTTCAAACCGATGATTTTAGAACTGATTTTAACAATGTTGTTCAGGCTGTTCCTGTCTTTAACTGTCAGATTGTGAAACCAACAGAAAAACTTAAAAGAATCTCAATAAAAGACCGGCGTGACAGAGAAGGAGTTTAGTTTGTGGAGAAGATAAATTCTCTGTTTCCCCCGCTTCACATATGTATATAATATATATATATATGATAATGTGTCTTATTCGGCTCTGAAAAGGAGAGCAGACACACAGTTCAGTGTAACAAATATAGCATTGATGGTAGGTTTGAAATCTAGATCTTTTTTTGACCATACTGTCCCCTCTCAGTCACCCTTTAGACAATCATTGCTGTAATACAAACTTCTTGTGCACTTATGTTGCCTCTTGACCTTGTAGCTCCCAGCACATTCAAGTTGTAAACAAACAGAGTGACACTTGCTCTTGTACTTGTCCATTATCCACTAACCAAAGCTGCCACTTTGGTCCACGTACAAGCCAAGAATACAACAGACCATAACTGTGGGCACCTCAAAATATCTGTCTGCTTCACTAAACCTATTGTTTTGATACTTGTAAAAGTTGGTTTTCTTGCTGAGGGCTGCTGGATGAGTTGCGCAAGTGTCCTCACATGGCAGGATGAGCGGCATAAAATGCTGACAGATTTCCTGTCAGGATATGGTCACATGGGAGGTGAAACTACTTTACACTTCATGGACTTGCGGAGGAATCAGAGGAAGGGAGAACAGCAGAGAGGTAGGGACGTCTTATTTTACATATTTTGCAGAAGATCTGGCAGGTTTGCAGGTAATTATTGTATTTTAACTTACAAAAATCAAGCATTCTTACATTTCTGCAATGGCTTTTAGAGCATTTACACAGACACATGTCTATGGAAAGCAAGCTGCCCCAAAAGAAAAGGACAAATCCAGCATCCAGTGCCTTGAGTGCTATGACCGAAATGTGTATGTAGGGACCAAAGATGCAACAGTCCAGCATCTCATCCTTCCCAGTAGCGAAAACGGAGACCCAAGTCCTGGCCTGAGCAAAACCAGAGAAGGCAGGACAAGAAAACTAGGCTCAAGCAATCAAGTAGCCCACCTGAGGGCAGTCCCACTTTTCAACCATCTGATGGTCCTGTGCGACCGGAGCATTACTGCCCTCAACATGTTCTCCTTAGAGCCCGTTCCCACTCTGAAGAAGATCCAGCACGTGTCTATGTTTGAGGTGTGCGACTCATCGCTCGCAGGGCAGGCAGCATATGTGGAGATGGTGACTTCCACCAGCCGCAGGAAGGTGATCCGTATCCATGTGGTGGGAGTGGACAAGTGGGAGGTTGTGAAGGAAGTCCCTCTGCTCCAGGACCCTGTGGCTTTGGCTGTAGATGGCACTAGTCTGTGTGTAGCTACCAGCGACAGGTATCTCCTCTGTGATATTCAGACTGGGCGAACTGATGAGCTTTTTCCTCACAATCACAGCAGACAGCATGTCATTGTTACCTCAGTGGGGCGAGGGGAATTCCTCCTGAATGGGCCTGAATCTTTGGGTAAGAGCTTCCAAAATGTCTAAAGTACATATTATTCTACAGGCTGTCGAGCATAGACATTGTGTCATTATATGCCTCCTTTCTTAAGCATCTATACAGTTAATCATCTCATATCACTCCCCCATATTTTCATCTAGCCAGAGGATATTTGTTTTCTAAGATTTCTCCATCCTCATCCCTCAGGCATGTTTGTGATGAAGACAGGGATATGCCAGCGCCCTCCCCTGCAGTGGCCTCAGGAGGTGCTGGCAGCCGGAGTATGTTTCCCTTACATCCTAACCCTGCAGCCCCAAGAGCTGTCTGTTTTCAGCATGGTGGATCAGCAGCGCAAACAGACTGTGAGTCTCAGCGATGCGAAGGGTCTGCTCTCCACATCAGGTAAACCAAGCAACATCAATTTATCACCTAACCCTCGCAGATTGCAGACCGAACGGCTGTCAAGTTGTGGTTTTGTTTTGAAAGATGTAGCTGTGTCTGTCTCAGTTTGAACTGATTCAGTCAATCATTCTTGCACCTACTGTTGCTACACACTGAGTGTTTTTGAAAACCAAAAACAAATCTCCCCTCAGATGGTGTGTTAGTGTTCACAGAGAGAGACATTTTCAGCCTGCGCCTGGTGCCATTCGAAGAGCAGATCCAGGCACTTGTCATGCATGAGAGGGTCGAGGAGGCCTTATTGCTGCTGGATGGAGTTCAATGTCGTCGTCCACTTGACTCATACAAGGTCAAATGCAATTTATAGACATACAGTCCCTGCCTTTTCTCACAAATACATTTGGGTTACAAAACAGCATTTCTGGGGTCAACGTAATGACACTGATGCATTTATAATATTTCTCCTTTCTTTCCTTTACTTTAATCATGTAAGGAGAAATAAAACAAGAACAGGAATGTCTGTACCAAACTTCATGGCAATTTATCCAATAGCTCTTGATGTATTTCACTCAACACGTGTCCTGAAAAACTTAACTTACTGAAAAAAGTCACATGATCACCACCATCAATAGGATAAATGGTGTGGGGAACAATGATTGTCTGTACGTTTTGTGCCATTAAGTAGATGTTATTTCACAGGATAAGTGAAAGATTTGTCCTACTGGTGGCGCTAGAGAAACCAAAGTGAATAGGATTTATCCTCTGGGGACAATGAATGTGTGAGCTAAATTTTAGCTCACACATAGTCCAGTAGTTGCTGAGATATTTCAGTGGACAGACTGACTTTGCCATCCCTAGAGCACAGCTAGCATGGCTAAAAAACAAACAGTTACTGCACTCCACAGCTATAGCCTTAACGTTTTACAACCTGTTTCAATTTTAATGTTCCATCACCTTAGAATTATGTTTGTAGTACCACATTAATAAGGCAGTAGCTAAATCATAATGGTGAAAAACATAGCATAAATAAACTCGTCTTGCTCTTTTGAGGTATATTCATCCAAGAATGGATACAATTTTGATTTTACAACTTACATAGCTCTTATGAACCTTCAACCCCTTTTTCTCAACTTCCCTTTTTTAGTATCGTCTGCCTTTGTGAGGCAGCAGTCAGTGCTGCTATAATTTCACCATTTTATAGTTTCATACACACCCAACCCAAGCTGGCACTGCATCGTAGCGTTTGAATTTACAGATTGAACCAGGGTGTCAAGGCGTAGACTGACTACATTGTTGTAAACTGCTATCGTAGGTGGATGACAGCAATTGAGGGCAGCAGATGTTGTCTGAGATGTTGTGTAATCTGTGCCATATCACAGGTTACAGGTTAGAGGGGAGGATCTCAGAATTAACACGCTGATGAGTCATTAGTCATGCCTTATTATTTGTCTGGTTTTGTGTTGAGATTTAAGGATAGTCACATGTTCTTCTGCCTAAATGATTTCAGCTCACATATCTGTGCTTAAAGTATGTTCATGCAATGTGTGCCTGGTTTTAAGATAGTTTTTTTTTTACTGTCAGGAGCTGCAGAAGGTCATCACTTGCCTGGTTGGATTTGTTCATTTTTATCAGCAGGGCTTTTCCGAGGCCAGAAATCTTTTCATGTGAGAGTAAAACCCCTATCACGACACTCCAATTCCAAACACACTAAATAAATCACAGCAAAGTGTGCAGTAAGATGTTACTTTTGTGAATAGTGGGCCTTTTCTGCTGAATTCTACACTAAAGTCTAACACAAATCAATACTCATTACCCACTTGAACAGCACAGGTGAGCTGGACCCCCGAGAAATCATCCATCTCTACCCTGACATGCAGTCGTGTCTCAGCGAGGACTTTCAATCCCAGCTTGATCAAGTGAACAAGGACAGGGATCTCCAGGTGCTCTGGCAAGATGACAGAAACACATTTCGTCATTACCTGGCCTTTCTGGGAGATTTTCTCAGAGCAGTCAGGGGGACGGAGCAAGGCCTGCAGTGCATTAAAGAGGTGGACTGCGCCCTCCTGAGGCTGTACGTAGGACTGGGAGACACTGAAAACCTGCAGC